AATGGTTTGGCTCCGAGAAATTCCAGTATGCTCGGAGGAAACCGATTCCCCCCACTGTTCAACGGTTGAATATTTGAATTTTACACTTAGGGAACCGATTCCCCATGAGGGGTACCGATTCCCCCCACACTCCAAGCAGAAATATTAATTGTTTTCACACTTAAACGGCTCCAATAACTTCATTAATGATCCCCAACGTTCACAAGTGATTCAAGGTGTATTTAAGCAAGCTTAGAAGCCATTGATCAATAACAAGAAACATCAAGCAACTAGAATCAAGAGATAATCAAAGAGAAAGCATCAAACCTCAAGTTTGATCATTTCAAGCCTATTTTTCATTCAATATTCATTTTGCTTTCAAGAACACTTATTGTGCTCAATTATATTTATTCTTGAGTGTTCTTTCTTTGTTCTAGAATTGTGCAAACATCTTACCTTGTGAGGTTTTTCTTGTAAGTTTGTGAAATGTGTAATATTCTCTTTGAGAAAGAGTGTTCTCAAGAATTAGGGTATAATTCTTGAGGGTGTTGTAAGGTTATCTCTTTGGCCTCAAAAGAAAGAACAAATTAGTGAATTTGTTGGAAAATCCTTAGTGTGGATAGCTAAGGTAGTGGACGTAGACTTTGATTGAGAAAGTCGAACCACTCTAAATCGCTGTGCAATTACTTTCAATTTTCTGCAAAAGCTTCCACAAAATTTTAATTGCCAATTCACCCCCCTCTTGGCCGATTCCGTCAATCGATTAACTCAACAGTTAAGAAAGCTTAAGGAATGCTTAAAGTGGTTTAAAACTCAGAGATTGATGAGTTATGAGAAATTAAGTAAAAATAGTTTTTAAGGGAGTTATTGAGAAATAGTTAGTAAATAAGTTTTGAAGTGAAATTTGAATTGTCAAGGGTCTAATTAAGAAGTTAGAAGCAATACAATTGAATTAAGAACATGTTGGAAATTTAGTAAGATTCTTGGTTCCAAAAATCATAATGAGATATTGAAGAAAATGATGTGCTATAGTGTTAAACGATGGTTTAAGTATATGTAATTGAGTTTAATGGCATGAAGAGAGTGGTATAAGTGGAGTTTAGGTAAAATGATGATGATTTTCGGGTTAATGAAGTAGAATCTGGGTTGGTAGTATCGGTACTGGTTAAGTAAGTACCAATACTACAAGGCAATATTAAGTGATAAGTTATGTCTGGGTATCGATACTGCATGAACAGTATCGATACCATAAGAAAAATATTTGTAAAATCTTCATAGTGTATCGATACTGAAGTGATATTATCGGTACCATAGGTATTGATACCAATGTGAAGGTATCGGTGCCATTCTTGAGATGAAATATAGGATTAAGAAAGGTAGTGCTTTGTTTAGTTTATATTCATAAGAATCTTTCGAGTAATTCGAATCACGATATTTTTTGGAATATATATTCGTGTAGATAGCAATCGAGAGCAAAGTCTGGACAAGTTGACCAAGTAATAGTCATCGAGAAAGAGATAAGAGATTGATATTGACTAATGAGACCATGTGAGTGCATAATATTAGAATATATGTATTATTATTATATGAAAATTAGATTTGTGACAAGTTTGTTTCCAATATTTTGAATATATGATTGCATGAGTAGAAGCATGATTATGTTTGTATTATGTGAATATGCCTTGTTCATTTTACATGTTATGTGGTGTGAATTTATATGATATGTGGTATATGTTACATGATTTATATGAACATAAGAGAACAAACAATAAGACTATGTAATGATATAAGAATAAGATATGAGCCATATGATATGACCTATGTGAATATATGAGAAAAGGATATGAGCTATATGTGATACATGATATGATATAAGTGATTTCATGAGAAATGACATGAGCTATGTGATAAGAAACTAAGAGATTATATGCTTATATGATATGAATAAGTGAATATGTGACAAACATAATGATAATGCTCATGTTATATGAAATGAGGGCTAGAGGTATAGTTGGCATGCCAAGAGTCGTGGGGTTATATATGGTCCTTCGGGATATATATGTTATAAGTGGTCCTTTGGGACATCTACAGGGTCTTTCAGGACAATTTCACATGCCCCTAGTGGGACCTTATACGAGCTGTGGTGACAGCATATGTGCACAACCTCTGTGTACTCACATATCTTTAGTTCTCACGAGTATACATGGGCAAATATAAGAGATAATATAAATAAAGTGTATGTGACGTTATGTGTATTGATTAGTTATATGAAAGGTGTTATATGAAGTGTATAAATATTAAAATATAAGATTAAATGATAAAATGGAATAATAATAATAAAGTATGATAATGATATGAATGATAACGAGGATATATATATATATGCATGTGTGTAGTTGTTATATGAAATGATATATGCTATTGAATGATATGATATTATTAATTGTTCATGCATTGTTAGGAGTTAGAGTTTTATTATAAGTTGTATATGTCTCACTAAGTCATAGACTTAGCGTGAATGTTTCACACGTAGGTTTCGAGAAGATTAAGGAAAAAAGATGAGCAAGACAGGTTAGCCTTTGATATGTATTTTTTTATATTAAATGTAGTTGGCATGTATTAAGAGGTTTAAATTGAATATGCTCTGATATATTTTGTAAAACCGATTGAATTTTAATTAATGTAAAATATTTAGTTATTTTAATAAAAAATTGTGTTTTCAGCTATTTTGTACAAGTATATGATTTGAAAGGTTAATGTGACATCTCAGACTCGTATCCAGGTCGGATACGGGTTGAGGGTGTTATATATAGGGTTAGTTCGGATTGTAGATCTCGCCTCACTCTAATGATAGAATAGGGCCATTTCTTCATCAATGTTGCTTAAAAAAGGACAATTCATAACCTATAAAGCTTGATAATTTGAATAAAATTTTATAGGAGACCGGGATTAATGTGAGAAATATAATCCCAAGATATTTAAGGTCCTTGAAAAGAGAAAGGAATGCTTACTAATTCCTCCTTCCCATCCCCTTTCACATGATCTTTTTGTAATCTCAAGGGACTATTGCTCTTATAACTTTAAGCTAATGCAAAATTTTAAGGCCAAATATACATGTATGGTGAGAAATTTAATGGGTTATTACGATTAATAATATTTTTTATTTATTTTTAAAAATTAAGAGTCAAATTGAACAAATTATAAACATAAGAAATTAAAAGAAGTTTTTTTAAACATTTTTATAGCTACCATGTCAAAAACAAACAACAAAATTGAACAAAAATAGAAGAATGACCAAAATTTTCAAATAGAAAATAGTATAGAGACCCGACTTCACAAAAAATAAAATACAAATTTTAAAATAATACATGGACGTGTAATATATTTATTTTTTTATTGTTACGTTGGATCTCTTTATTGCACTCTCACAACTTTGATACAAGAATAAATAATATTTTTTTCTTATTAATCTAGAGTGAGTACAAGATAATATTTGTTCAAATACTCTCAACTATTTGATATAGAATACTTATATCCTTAGTATAAAGGGTTCTTGAACTTGAAACTTTAAAAAAAAATCTTTAATTCGAGACCTCAAAGAATAAATAGATATAATCCTACAATTCCAAATGAGAGTATGTTATAAAAATTTGTATAAAAAATGAATTTTAGAATAAATACCAAATTGAAAATCTTAGAAAAGCATTAACCAAAATAAAGTTATGATCTCATAATTTGAAGTCCTTAGGATTTTGAACTACTCTATCAAACACAAACGAAGAAACTGCCATCACGCAACCTCATAACCTGTTTTACATGTAGTTAATTATTACTATTTTAATTCCCAAAACAACGGCCTATTAGCTCAGTTGGTTAGAGCGTCGTGCTAATAACGCGAAGGTCGCAGGTTCGAGACCTGCATGGGCCACTCGTTATTGTTTTACCTTTAATTAGAAACGCTGCCGTTTTATACAAATATTCTGCCTATTATATATATGTTCGGGCCACTTCTCCGTAGGGTAATTGGGCTTCATCTTTCTTGCATATTGCGCTACACTCTTACCATTTGAAGGATTCTTTTTTAAAATTTTATTATCCTCAAACAAACATTTTAAAATTTTATTCAAAATAACATCTAATTTTTTAAAAAATAAATGACTTGAAATTTATAAAATAAGTGTGATTTTTAGAAAAATAAATTATTATTTTATTATTTCATTTTATATCACGCTATCACACACATATATAATATATTGACTAAACTTCAAAAAAAAAATATTGACAATGATCGATTCAAAATATTTTATTTTTCCAACAAAAATATATGAGTAAATAACGAGAGTTATCATGTAAAAAGAGTTATGACATACGTGGTATTCTTCTACTTTCATATTATTTTACTCTATTCCTGATGCATTTTCTCTTGGTGTTTATTCTTATTTTTTTTATAACTTCATTAAAAATAACCCGTCCATTCATTTCTCTCTTAAATTTGATTTCATATTGGTGATCATCATTTTTCAATTACAGCATATGAACAAAAGTAAAAGAGAAAAGCTGTTGAAACTGAATGAAACCTCAATTTAATTACCCTTCACATTTCTTTTTGGCTACGGTACACAATAGTTATCAAGCAAATTCATCAACAACTTATAAACACCCAGTCTTTATTATCATTACTATAAACAGTGTATATATATATATATATATATATATATATATATTCATCTAAACTGGGAAATACAGCCCCAAACGTTCCAAAACCATGCTTAGAAAATGTACCCTCCTCCATAGCATACATTATTTGCATCCCCTCCGTAAGAATAATCAGCTGCCGGTTGAGCTTGCATGGCGACATTAAGGCTGTTGCAATTACCACCATGCTGATAATAAGGATGATTCACCTGCTGTTGGTTCCACCCTAAGCCTTCATTCATCAAGTACTCATCTAACAAAGAAGCAGCATCTTCATACACAATAGCCAAGCATCGATTATCGTGCTCAGTCGGTCGACCGCCGTCTCATCTTTATCCGGTTGTCGTGGCTGCTGTTGTTATTCGACCTTTAGCATTTGAGTTTTTCTTTTTTGTTGCTTCTGAGAGGAGGACCTTTCCTTCTTGAAATGGGTTCTCCAATAGTTATTTATCTCATTGTCGGTTCTCCCTGGCAAGTATCTAGCAATCGTGGACCATCTGTTTCATTTCACATACAATTATGAACACCAAATAAAAATAAGATAGAAAATCAGAAGAAGAAGAAGCATTACTTGTTACCCCAAATGGCATGCAATTCAGCGATGATCCCTTCCTCCTGAGGTGTAATATGACCTCTCTTAAGACCAGGCCTTAGATAATTCACCCACCTAAGCCTGCAACTCTTCCCACTCCTATTCAAACCTGATATGTATATATATATATATTATCCAACTTAAATTGGCTAAATGATCTCAAAAATACACATGTAATTATATATATATATATATATATATATATATACCTGTAGATTTAGAGACTGAGCTCCATCTTCCTTCACCATGCAAGTTTACATATTCAGTCATGAACTTATCTTCTTCAGGAGTCCATGGACCTTTCTTCCATGCTTGTTTTGGAGCTCCCCAACCCATTATTTCCAACTATTATCACAAGTTTATACAACTACTTTCACTTCCTAGCCTTACCCTCTTATATATTCCCTCAATCATGTCGATTCCATTTTTTTAGTTCATTGATGATCTCATTATACCACTAAGACGACATCTTTCAATCAAACTTTTGGTTGAGTTCTTTTCCTTTGTCAATTATCCTCTTGGTTTAGAACAAGTGTTAAATGTCTAGGTGCTTACCAGCTCAATCTCTTGCAACTAATGAGAAACCAGCAAGTGTTGGATTATTGCACCATATAATTACATTTTATTTTGCATAGTACATGATTTAAATAGATACTTCAAACACGATATACTTGATCTTTTGTAAACTTTTTCTATTTTCTTTACTAATATCTTTCACAAATTAAAATATAAATATCATAAGTTACTTCAAATATAACTGCTATATAATTACGATTTTCTTTTAAAATAACGAAAATAAGTGTTATAACATAATAATTTGATTGCATCCTCAAATTGTTATAAATACACGCAACTGAAAATATATCTACGATGACAATTTAAATCTTACAAGTCACTAATGTCACTACTTCTTGATAATGATTTCTTAACACAACTCTAATTATATTACTCTGTTGTCTATTGTTGATGGGAAAAAGGAAAGTGCGGTGTTTTTAGCGATTCACTCTCTTATAATTTTAATAAAAAGTTGTATTCGATCTTTTAGTCGAGGGAAAGAGAGAATAATCAAATTGAAGAAGATGATGAATAGTCGAAAGTCATTTCCTCTCTAGCCCCTTACGGTGATTTATACACGGGCCTTTAGTATTGGTGTCAGGCATCGAGTGATGATAGTTATCTGTAGGTTGGTAGAATAAATATATATAACTATCAAATAATAAATTTAATTGACAGATGACAGAGACTTGCTAGTGATTATATCGATTGATTGTAATTAATCAGAAGATATAGAACTCTGAATTTTTTTAAAAAAGTTCTCAAAATTTGATAGATAAAACAATAATAACATAAAAAATCCAAAGAGATGCACCATCGATTATAAGAAAACCAACATGAATTTGTTGCATTGAAAGTTGAAGGTGGTATGTTTTCATTGTTTTATATATTATATTATTAAGACTATTTTGATCTTTCAAACTTGGAAGAGTGGGAATTAATGTCTTAACACTGGGGAATAAGCATGATAATATGTGGATTAATGTGGGGGGAAAGCTGGTGGGGATAGTGTTGTTTTGTTTGCTTGAAAATGGCTCACGGTGCAATCTTGGTGGAACACTTGTTGCCATAAACATTTCTTAATTGCATGCGTTAGAATTTGTTTAAGGGGTAAAGAATGTTCTAGGACGCCGTTTTGGGCAATGGGGTATTTGAATATATAATAAGGTAGGGTTCTTCATGACTCATCAATGCTACATTTGGTCTCCTTACGACCATATACTATATATTTTAACATATTTGGAATGTTAGGACCATAGTTTATTGGATTACGTCATTTTTTCTAATGAAGAATGCCTATATATAGGTATCGATGTATAAGGTTGAAAGTTAATAAATAATACAATAAACAAATTGAATCTTATATATTTTTCGTATATGTAGATATATAAATAAAAAATAATATATTAATAATTAATTAGTCTAATAAAATGATGTATTAAATTTTTTAAATTAAAATAAAAAATTCTTATAATCAATCGTTATAATAATATTAATTACCATTTGAATTAAATAATGTCTTTACATAAAAGATCTTATTTTAAAGCTAAAAGATCGAGGTTGGGGAGACGGTTGATTTGACTGTGGTGAAAAAGACCTCACAAAAGCAATGGTTTTGGTTCTTGTCTTTTTTAAGTCACAATTCAAATTAGAGATAGGTTAGGTATAGGGATTATTACTCCCCCCTTGGTTTCTTTAAGTGTATGTGGAGAGATTAATGAAGGGTTGCCTATATATAGCAATTCCCATGCATGTTAAACTTTCCATCGAGTCTTTATCTTTATCTTCTATTTATAAAGGCTACAAGATGTGTATTTTGTGAAAAGTCAAACTTTCACTTTCAAATTAATATTAAGGGAAATGGTGGACCCATAAATTAGATGATAATTTTGTTTATTATTCTCAAAAAGATAACATAAGAAACAATTCAATTAAAATAAAGTTGGTGTGTAAATACTAACATCTAAAACTAAATTTTGTAAAGATTAAAAGATAATTAGACTCGGAACTATACTAATATTTTTTTAAAACTTTTAATTGTAATTCTATTATAATATATATTAATTATTTTTTAGGTATAACGTAAACACACCAGGTAGATAACAAATACTACTTGAACTTAGGTAACCAAAAAAACATATCCTGAAAGACAAATCCTAGTGAAACACTTACACAACTAATATAGATTTGGTAATTTCTTCAAACCAAAATTCCCAAAAAGAAAAAGACAACATTTTATTGAACACTCCAAAACGGAAGCAAATATAACACAAGTAATGCAATAACGTCCTGAAACATAAAAGTCAATAAAAATACATTACGTCCTGCAAAAATCTGGAAAAAAGTAAACATACAAGACAAAATCAGACAACAATCAGTCCACTAATGAAGTTTTCTTTTCTACTTTGCTTTGCCATTTGGCAGCGCAGCTCCGGTTGGGTTGAGCTCATCCCAGGCTTCAATCCATGTGACCATCGCCTCAGCCAGCTTGTCGAAGTAAGGGTCAACTTTGCTAAGCTTAGCCTTCACCTGCTTAGCTAGTTCAATGTAGCACTTTTGAACCCTGGTGCAGTCCTTTGGAAGGGCAGCTTGTTGGAAGAACGGGATGATCTCTTCCTGCCAGAATATGCCCTTGTACTCCTTCCTTAGGTTCACAAATGGGTTGCTTGCTTTGCTGTGGTAGATGTAAGGTAATCCGGTCTTGACTCCGAGTCCCAAATGGTCGCAAATCACCTAAACAATTGTCCAACAGGGAAATGGATATCAGCCTACTATCAAATTTCTGCATGACATTCACCGAAAGTCAAAATTAATGATACCTTAGTGCACCAGCCAGCCCACATGTCGTCGTAGCGTCCGATCGGCTGACCATCACCCATGAGTCCAAAGTACATGGCAGGGCCGATCAACTCACGGTCAAAAGCCAAATTCATACCGCACATGGGGAACAAGGTGCCCTTTGGAATCGTTAGAATCGCGTCCACAAATCTGATTCATTCACAAGCAATATTAGTTAACCATCTGACGATTCTACGGAAAGGAACAAAAGGTGTTTCCCTTAAGTGAAAATTCGTTACCTGGTATTCCTCTCGAGAGGCTTCACAAGTTGAGTCGGTGCATCATAGTCGGGGATGTTTAGCCAAAGGCCATGAGAAACAGCAGTTGGAACACCCTCGCGGAGACTGAAGGGGTACCCACGGACAAAATCAGCACCATCTCTGTACGGATCATATAAGGTGTTGAAGAAGAAGGGAGTCGATGGGGACAGCAGATTCTTGATGTGTTGCTCCAGTGCATTGATAGCTTTGCCAGATGGGTCCTTAGCAACCTAAAAACATAAACAGCATGCAGAGTTACTTAAATTCTGAAGCAGACACAAAAGTACCAAATCATTTCGAACCATTATAGTCAGAATTAGTTAAAGAGGTGCAAAAATAATTCCACAAGTAGTTAACTGTTCCGATCTCGACTTCTAGATCACTGATTCACCATTTAGTAGGAATATATAAGAACATGAACAAATACACGCTTTCAAAATAAATCTAAAACATGTAGTTATCCGATTGAAACAATTAAAGGATTCAGTTTTTGACCAAAACAACAAAAACCCAGACCCAGATACCAAATAAAAATGTAAAGATCCAAAATTAGACTAAGATAACAAAAACGCTGAATCTAAAACATCACAATAAGATAGAAAAAGAAGAAAAATAACTTACAAAACAGTCGTCATCAATGGTAAAAATATACTTCTTCTTAGACACCATGTAGCCAAAGCAACGGCAAGCAGAGTCCTTGAAGGAAATGCAAGAGGCCTTAGGACCCAGAATCCTGTTAATATCATTCCTGTTGTAAAGTTCATAGTCAAAACCATCAGGAACCTTGATGGTTTTGGAAGGATCACCATCTTGAACAATGATGAGATGGTAAGGCTGAAAGAATGGCCTCCACATCTCAAGAAAGTCCAAGTTTCTTATAGTTGGTATCACAATGTCAAGCTCATCCTTCAGCTGAGGCACGGCCGGTGCTGCTGCTTGGGTTGCTGTTGCGGGCTCAACCATTGTCACTGCAAAAATATGAACGAAACAACAAAAAGAAAAGAGATTATGTTTTCATTCTTTCTTTTTGTTGAGAAAGACAGAGCAGAGGAAGGGGGAGATTCGGCGAGTATAAATGGAAGGAGAGAGTGGTGGGACGTGAGAAAAGAGCACGGCGTATAAAGGAGAGACGTGCAAGAGTTTTGCAGTGAATTACGACTTTTTCAAAGAGGCAAAAAGCCTGAATTTTAGCTCAAGACTTAGTTTTCGTTGGAATTTAAAAGGAGCAATTTGAAAAAAATGTGAGGTTTTGTTTTATTATGGTTATGTTCTGGTAAATTTAGATATTTTTTTAAAATGAAAAAATTTAAACATCTTTGCGATGTTTATGTGAATTCCAATCTACCATCTTGAGGAGATATGTTGCCATAAATGGAAAAAGCCCATTTATGTAATATATTTATTTTAATAATTTAAATATATATAAGATTATTATTTAATATATTAATTGTTTAATTATATTATTTATTTATTTTAATTTCAGATCCCTACAAAAATAAAATCAAAATTCATAAATATAACAAAATCATAAAAAGAAGAAAAAAAACTGAGATTCTAGCATAAATTTAATGAATTTGGGATGTTTTTCGATTGAATTTGAACACATAAAAATACGAAGCATTGGTCGTGAAATTGTAAGCTTTTGATGAATAACGGCCAACTCTCGATGATGACCAAATTAACTTTTAGAGAGAAGACACAGAGAACTTTTAAGAGAGAAAAAATGAAATATGATATTTAAATGCTTCGAAGATGATGTCGTTTCGAGGGGACTCTTTAAAACTCTAAAACATCATTTTGGATGTTCAACTCACTCTTTGATCCGACCCGTAATCAAGATCTGCATGTTTACGACTCTCTGGATAAATTACTCTCTATACTTGTATATATTTCAATTAAGCAAATTCATAAATTGCTATTTTTACCCTTTAATTTTAGTTTTGTTCAAATGGATTTATGCATATGTCTATTATTTTAGAAAAGTCAAGGTCTTCTATGTAGTATCCGATCTAGATTAATCGATCAATAGATCAGATATCAGTAATTAATTCAAAAAAAATGTCAAGGTGAAGAAAAATATTAAGGTTGTATACAAATAGTTTAATACTTTTAATGATGTTAGAGTTATTGCTCAATTTTTTCTTAGATCGGGTCACGAAGTTACAATCAAGATAATAGTAAAAGTGTGAGGCCGATAAGGCGGGCTAAGTGAAACATGAGAAAATAACTTCAGTGATCAAAATGCCTTATAATATACGATTTTAATCAATTTTTTTGGATTTGCCAAAATGATTAGTCGAAGTTCGTGTTGCGATTTATTCCAAGTTCGTTACGATAGTCGAAGTTTGCGTTGCGATTTATTCCAAGTTCGTTGCGATAGTCCAAAATCGCAACGACGATATTGCATTTGTTTCTTAAGAATTTTCTCTAAAAAGATAGTATTCGCGCGGACGTGTCGAAGACACGTATTACCACGACCCGAAACGAGACGGACGGCGGCAGTGGCGGCGCACGAGAGTCCCTCTTGTTCTCTATCACTCAACAAGGAAGTGGGAAAGCCAAACCTTAAATACCATTCCCAATAGTGTTTCCAATACTATGTGGGATTGAGCATTACCAACAATTGTTCCCAATACTATGTGGGATTGAGCCTTAAATAGTGATATTATTTTTGAATGTTTTGCTTAAAATTGTAATAATCCTAATTGATTGTAGATTGACTTTTAATTATGACATATTTAATCGTATAATACTAATGCAATTAGTTGTTGTTTTAGTTGTTTTAAGGTGCATGATTGTTAATTGTTTCCTGAATAATCACATTGTATTGGAAACAAGTGTTGGTAATGCTCAATCCCATATAGTATTGGAAACACTATTGGGAATGATATTTAAGGCTTGGCTTTCCCACTTCCTTGTTGAGTGATAGAGAACAAGGTGGACTCTCGCGCGCCACCGCCGCCGCCGTCTGTCTCGTCTCGTGGTCGTGGTCGTGGTCGTGGTAATACGTGTCTTTGACACGTCCGCGCGAATACTATCTTTTTAGAGAAAATTCTTAAGAAACAAATGCAATACGCGATTTACATATTCGCATTGCGATAGTCGACTATCGCATTGCGGTTTACATATTCGCATTGCGATAGTCCAAGTTCGCAAGTTCGCGTTGCGATAGTCCAAGTTCGCATTGCGATAGTCGACTATCGCATTGCGATTTACATATTCGCATTGCGCTAGTCGAAGTTCGCGTTGCGAATTAGAAAACTGATTTGCGATACCGGAGATTAGGGTTTTGATGAAATACCACATGTTACGTGTAACATATTTTGTATTTTTTCACAGTTAATTTTTTCCATCTGTCGGTGATTTTTTTTCTTTTGGAATTTTCAAATAAATCTTAATATTTTTTAAAATTTTAAATAAAAGTAAATTTTTTAAAAAAAGATTTAATTAATATTTTTTTAAATGAGTGCATCATCAACCTTGAGCCTTAATTGTATAATAAAATTACCTAACATGAAAGAAAATGTGTGTATTCACATGTCCCATGTGAAATCGCATTCAATGAACCTTGGTTTGGCAGAAATGCAACCTTTGGCTGGATTAGGGAACTTTCCACTTTAGACCCAAAACAGGGTTCCATAGCTACTTAAACAAACTTTGATTTCAATTTAAAAGGAAAAAGAGAAGCCATGGTTAAATGAAATCTGTGACTTAAGAAGCCCATTAACTCTGTGAGTGCGAATTTAAAATACTGTCGGTTAATAAAAAGTTAAAAAAATAGTTGTAATTTAAAAAATTATGAAAAGAGTTATATTTTAGAGTAAAATATATAATATTTTAGATTAAAATCGAAAATATTACATTTTTTATAAGAGTTAATGTCAATTCCATAACTATTTCGGTTGTAATTTAAAAAAAATACCGTCAAGATTTTCTTTATTGTAACTGAAATTATTACCAATTGTGTAACTATTTAGAGTAGATAAATAATATTTTAGATTAAAACTCGCGACAATGTAACATTACCAAAATTATTATGGGTAAAGTACACAAATGGTCTCATGACTATAGGACACTGCTTTGTTGAGTCCCTCGACGATTAAAAACTATAAAATGATCTCCCAACTATTGAGTGATTTTTGTTAAGTCCTCTTACTATTAAAAGTCACAAAATGGTTATACGACAATTCATATGTTCCAAACTCATTTTTTCTCGTTAAAAAACCTAGTGATGTATACTGACACTATCGTTGCTTTCAAGCATTGACTCGACAATATAATGTTTTAAGCATTGGCTCGATGACATGATGTAAGCACAAATTTGATCGATAAAATATAGCTCAAAACGGTTATAGGATCATATTTTATCATATCCCAGTTAACATCAAGCTCAGACAACCATAAATTCTTTAACGAAAAAGGATGATTTTAAAACATATGAATAATCGAGTGATCATTTTATAACTTTTAAAAGTTTGAGGACTCAACGAAGCAACGAACTATAGTCGATGAACTATTTTATAATTTTTAATAATCGTGTACTCAACAAATCAACATCTTATCTTATAGTAAGTGGACCATTTGCATAGTTTACATAATTATTATTAATTATATAATTTTTTAAAATTAAACATAATAATATTTTATGTTAAAACCTATCCTAAATTAATCTTAAAGTTAGGCCACCACGCAACATAAATATGAAGCTTTGAACAATACCAGTTTGTATGGTAAAAGTGTATTTTAAACCCTTGAAATCTCTCTGTGTATATAGATATATCTTTATACTCCTTGAATTAGAAAGGACTTAAGGGTGTTGGTTGGGGAATGTGAAATTTCTATGGGAATGGAATCTACATTCTCTCGTTTGGTTGGTCGGGAATGTCATTCCCGGTAATCTTACATTACTAATAGTGAATTTCTTGAGATATATTACCGGGAATGTCATTACCTCCCTTTTCTTAGGTATTGTTGGATTACCGATGTTTTGGACTAAAATGCCCTTAAATTTATCATTGAATAATAAAAATTTTACGAAGGTTAAATTACAAATTTATCCTTAAACAATTTTAGATTTACAAAAAAAAATCTATAATTAAAATTTTATATGAAGTACAGGGATTAAAATAAAATTTTACCCTTTCATTAAACATTTTTATTCCTTTATTCAATAATCTTTTATTCCTTTAACCAAACACGGTAATCTTACATTCCTGCTAAACCAACCAAACACAAAATACAACATTCTCAGTAATCCTATTCTCTGGTAATCTTTTATTCCCACTGGTAATCTTATATTCCGTGAACTAACGCATCCTAACTTAAAAGGTTTCAGAAATGGATCTTAGAAAAGGAAATATAAGAGATTATCATAGCTTTGATATTTATATTCCCAAAGCTTAATTCCAGCATTCACATAACTCATTTTTCAAGTTTTATTCTCTTCCCCTTTCATCACTGTTAAACCCCATACAAGAAGACATCCGTATCTTCTCCAGCTCCAATTTTTTAGTGAAAAATTAAGTCGTTTATACCGTTAGCCACCAAACCCCCAACAGCCAAACATGCTTGCCGTCTTCTCTAACATGTCCGATCAAGCATAAATAATAAATAGCTCCAGCTGAAGTGAGGCAAAAACTCCAGCTCACAAAACTTGTTGTCTCTTCTGTACATACATGATACATCTGTTTTCTGTCAGTATGACGAAACCCTAATGTGCAGTCCATTTGGTGCTTCAACTCTCGGGAATTTTATCAGTTTTTCTCCCCCTACTTCTTCCCATCTGCACTCAAACAAAAATCCCATTAATTTAAGCTCATTTTCTTTATTTTTTGTATATTAAACAGTGATTTATTAAGGCTATTACCTGTATCTAGTTACAAAATAATGAAGAAATGTGGAAATTTCTGCAATTCCTAGTTCCTTTCCTGGACACTGCCTGGTCCCTCCTCCGAATATCAGGAAATTGCTTTGAGATTCCAAGCTCTTGTCCTGGATATTCCATCAATCTTTTCAGATTCTTTCATAGATAAAAATAAGCCAGGGAATTATTGATTACTACTAACC